TGAAATGGTTTTTAATTTAATTTTTATATTACCTACATTTTTGATATTACAGGAAATTACATAAAAAATTAAAAACGTACAATTACACACCATCACTTAGTTTCTATAGSATTTTAAACAATGTAATTTTTTTAWCATTATTATTATTTAAATTTATTTTTCACCAATTTTGAGATTTATAAAATATAAATGGTAGATTTACTAATCAATAAATTATTTTATTTACCTATTTAAAAAAAATATATCAAATCTTACCTCAAAGTAAGTGCTAGTTTTTCCTCTGGAGATATTGGCTCAGGTACACGTAATGTCGGTTTCTTCGTTATTTCTTCTTGGACCAAAGATAAGATAAAATTGAATTGATCACGATTTAGACGAAGAAATTCCCGAAATTTTAGTAAGATGTCCACTAATCAAACTTTTAAAGAACCCTTCAGATTTCCTCGTGGAAAATAAACTTTTGAAAGGTTTTCTTTTTTTGGGAATTAAGTTCATTAGTAATTCGTTTTCAATTTCTTCATTACGAAGCAACAATTCGCAAATAGTATTATTATTATTAATGATACTRTTCAAAATAAAATGTTGATTCATTTTGAAAGATAAAAAAATCAAATATGGAAACTACGTGTGGAAGAGACAACGGTCGCAGTAGTACTAAAAGAACGGGATAAAATAATAAAATTTTCAGCGTCTGACGCTACAGGGTAAACGCAGCGTTCAGACGCCGCGTCAAGACGCGTCGTTCTATTGCGTATAGACGCTGCAGGGAAACCGTACCTTTAATGACTCATACTCTTTCATAAAAGAAAAATATTCTTCCTTTGATTTTTTATCTTTCTGGAATTGACGTTCTATTGCTAAAAAACGGCGTTTAGCAATATCGTACGATTTTCCCAGTTTTGTTGCGTTGTCCCGAAACGGCAAGTGTACGACAAAAAGTCCTTCGTCATTTCWAATAACGGTATTTTTAAAATATTTTTGACACKTACGTTCCTCGATTGTATAAGGTGGTGTGTCGCTTACGTCTTCTATCAATCAAAATTGCTGTAATACGTTCTCTAGTGTAGACTCACTTTYGGTCGTGCTAAAAAATGCGTTCGACGTCGATATTTTTGATAACTTATTTTCCGATATTGGTCCAGCAGCTACCCATCCAAATACTGTTTCTTGGAACAACGGTTCGTTAGTCGAAAGACGTGTTTGTCCGTCGCATAAAAATTCATAAAAATGTGTTGCACCCAATAATATGTCAATTTTTTGGGGCGTATTAAAATGTGGATCGGCCAATTTAATATTATCGGGAAAATTGTATATGGTTTTTATATTTCGTGGAGGTAATTGACCCGTTATCTTTGGTACCACTATCATCGGTAAATACACCGAGTAATCACTTACGCGAGATTTTATTTTTAGCCATACTGCCGACGACGCATGTTGTACTATTTCCCCGATACCGCTAATYACGTGCTTGACTTTATTTTTTTTTAAACGCAGTGTCTGCACCATCTCTTCTGTGATAAAGTWTTTCTGTGACCCGGAGTCTAACAGAGCTCGAACTGTTGCTGTTCTCGTGTAGGGACTCAMAGCTAGAGCTACTACTGTAGCTAGCAATACTTGTTCATCTAACGCAAATGCATGGGCGGTCACCGTGTTYGATACGGCCGTTTCTTCCGCAGCTTTACTGCTTGCCGTCGATGTTTCGGACGTTGAACTTTGTTGGTGCTTATAATTGTTTACATGTAACATGGTATTATGTGGCTTAGCACATTTTAGACAATATCGCGCGAAACACTTTTTTTTGTCGTAACGCCGTAGACATATATTGCACAAATTGAGGTCATTTACCATTTTGATTCGGTCGATTGGTGATAGCGCGATAAGCTTTGGACATTTGTAAATAGTGTGCGATAGTTGACATACATAACATTTTAATTCTGAGGTATTTACWAACGAAGCAGATGATGTGTTGTTTTTTGTGTATTGAACTTTTCGACCTGTATAATTAATTTCAGTACTATATTTGGAAATATTGGAAAATTTTTTAGACGACTCGACTGCTTCTAATACGTGAAAGCAGGCTTCTAAAAATTCGATTAATTCGTCGACTTCTTTAATTTTATCCCTCGCACATTTCGTCTCCCATTCGCTAATAGTAACCGCATCTAATTTGGTACATATAATATGTGTTAATAACGGCCCCCACTCTGAAGGACGTTGTTTCAATGTTCTTAAAGCCGATATATGACCGCGTAAACTGTCCGCAAATTGTCGTAAACTAGTGRATGAACTCGCTTTCACTGTAGGTAAATCACAAATACCTTTTACGTGCATTTGTACTAATAATTTTTTTATTATTGTACCTCGTAACCAAACTGTTCCACGCGTGTCCATAGTTATTAGCGGTGGTCTCTAGGTTTTTGACGCAGTTCGCCGCGTCGCCAGATAACGAAGAACGTAGATAAAAGAACTTTTGTATCGTTGTTAAACTATTATTATTGTGAATCAATGCAGTGTACATATCATAGAAGGGAGACCATTCGGTGTATACACCTGAGAATACTGGTACGTTTAATGCTGCTAGTTTCATCAGCGGTACGGCGTTGCTCGTCTCCCTCACATTGATTTTTTCTTTTTTTACCTGTGTATCGATTGCCGAACTTTCTTTCGCTTGTAACTGTTGAAGTCTCTCTTCCGCAATAGCCATGGCCTTAAAATATARTTCTTAAAATTCTAATTGATATCCTTCATGTTCGCTTGCATCTTCGTCAGCTCGAATCTCTGATTGTACCTGGTGAAACTCCTTCCACACATCTTCAATCTTCGATCTTCGCATACTGATTTGTTTAGGATCATTGTCCGTAGCAGACACATAATTCCAAAAACGCGTTAGATTACCTTTGAGTTGTCCTCGCCTTGATATTAGATTGCTTCCCATTTTGCCGTTATAAATTAATATAATAAATACGCGATAGTCGAAAATTGATAATTTACGATGTATCGAAGGATAAGAGAAATAGGCTATAACACGATATAACGAAATTGTGATTAATTTGCAGTCTATTTACTTCTTCGCAATAAAATTACAGCGGTCGAAGTCTACTGATAAGCATTTATCCATACGCTTTCGAACGTTTTAAGCGTTTATTCTATACGGCGGACTAATATTGAAATGCTTCGAATCTAATTTATCGCATTTATTTCAGGCATAGGCTGTGATACTGTGTATATAACGTGGCCGATTACACACGATGTATAAATTAGGAAGGAAACTTTGGAAATTTTACAAACGTATTTTAAAATACTAGAAAATTGAGACTCTCTTACCTTACATCTGTCTTCAATATGATGACCTTGACGCAGCAATCGGCTCTCCTTAATATTCTTGACCAGGCCCACGTAAAATTACAATATTCGACGAACGCAATATTGTATTCTTTAACAGCATATATATACGTGAGAATATATTCAAACGTATATTCTTTCGACAGAGCTATAAGTTATATTATGCTCATAAATACGATGAAAACAAGAAACGTATACACGAATATACTTTGGCATTTATAAGACGATCGAAATGATATTTTACGCCACTTGCAACTTTTTTTTTTTTACACGATTATATTATTTTAATATTTTATACAAAAAACGATGTTCACGTGCGAATATACTTTTCGACAAGGTTATAATTTATATTATGCCAATTTAAACACGCACACGTGGCTTTTAACCGACGCACTAAAATAAATACAAACTATACGGTTTTCATACGGATCGAATGGACCATGTTTAATAGCTGAGAACAAATCTTTAATAAAAAAGACTGACGATTTAAGTGGACYGTATAAGACTTTATTAAACACGAATAGCTGTAGGGTCGCTCGCTGTGCTCGGTACAAGTTTCGATACGCGACTGCTTATAACACAAATTATCRCAAKTACAATATAAAGATAATAATATAATATGGCTGAGATAGCGAGCGGTGACAACTAATAAAGTAATAATAATAATAATATAATACCATTCGAGTGCTAACAGTTGCTTTTATAAATACCTTTAYATTTTTGAAAATATTGTGTATAAAATTACAATGTACCACCTATACTATAATATATTTATGTTTTGATWTTAATTAATTCTACTTTAATGATTGTGTTTAATGTATAGCCTTTAATCTTTATTATAAAAAAACATTTTTATTTTAGAAAAAGTGTCAAGAAAATTAGTCTTTGATGTTGATAATAATTATTACAAGAATAAAATAATAAACCATCTAACCAGTACCCAGGTAAAATGAAATAGTTAACACAAAWTTGAATTTATTTTAAATATTACTAAGTGTGCATAAGTCTTATGCATTTGTCTTAACCATTTTTATTTGTTATTCTTCAAAAACATTTTATTTATTATTATTTGTACAACTTATATGTTTAGGATGTATATGATACACAAATCAAAACCAATCGAGTAGAACATTGGGTCGAACAACAAGCAAAGCACACCAAACAAGTTCAAAAGGAAGTACTAAATACAACTGAGCTAATTTTAATAGAAGTACCACCTGTAGTATCCATCATGTTACCCAGAAAATAGTATATTATTTTTTCCATCAAAAGTTACTTTAGATAATAATGCTGCAACTACACCAGCTATAAATGAATTTGAATTTATTGAAAATGTTCAGAAAGTACCTAATTTACCATGTCACCCTGCTACTCTTATACCAGTTCCTTCGTCTGAAGTTTCTGTAGATAATGCTGTATCTGCACAAACTGTACTAGAACGGTTAATTCTGAAACGAATTCTCCCGATGAAAAAAAATATTCTTCCAAACACCCAATTTGGGTTTCGCGCTTCTCGCTCAACTATTCATCAAGCACACAGAGTCGTAGACTCCATTTCGTATTCCCTGGAAAAAAAACTGTTCTGTAATTGCGCGTTTATAGACATCTCACAAGCATTCGACCGCATTTGGCATGACGGGCTTTTGTATAAACTTAAGAAATTCATGCCTCCCACCTACTACTTACTTATTAAATCCTATCTAACAGATCGGCATTTTCAAATACGCTACGGTTCTGCGTTATCTGACGTAGCAGTTATCAATGCTGGTGTTCCGCAAGGGGGCATTTTGTGTCCTATTTTGTACAATATCTTCACTTCTGACCAACCAACTACCCCCAATACATCNGCAGTTATCAATGCTGGTGTTCCGCAAGGGGGCATTTTGTGTCCTATTTTGTACAATATCTTCACTTCTGACCAACCAACTACCCCCAATACATCCGTGGCAGACTACGCTGACGATAAAGCAATAATATCTTTTGACAATGATCCACTCATAGCGTCATATAATCTCCAAACTCACCTTAACTACATGGAAAAATGGTTTACTAACTGGCGATTCAAAGTAAACAAAAGCAAATCTGTACATACTACCTTCACCCTCAAACATGCTTCCTGTCCTACAGTTTTTCTATACGGTATTCCTATCCCTTACTCTCCAAAAATTAAATATCTCGGGCTCACTCTCGACCAAAGGTTAACCTGGGCTCATCACATAAAAATCAAAAGATTAGCACTGAATCATCGTCTCCGTACCCTCAAACCCTTAATAAGCAATAACTCCACCGCCATTAAAACCAAAATTCTGATTTACAAAACACTTCTCAAACCCATTTGGACATACGGACTCCAACTTTGGGGAAACGCTAAAAAGTCTAACATACTGAAAATGCAAACATTTCAAAATATCGCTCTCCGAAAAATAATGAACGCACCACCCTACGTATCTAATCACACCCTTCATAATGACACCAAAATCAAAACAATTAACGATGAAGCAAAAATATATTATAAAAGATTCTACTCCAAACTAATTAATCACCCTAACGAACTCATAAAAAACTTATCTACTCCTTCCATACCTGGTAATCCCTCTAGATAAGCTTAACAAAAAAAAATTAAATTAAAAAATTAAAAAAGTGAAAAAAAAAATCCATAGAAAGTGCGATCGATGGGTGGCTTCTTTCATAAAATGTCCATGTCAATCTTTGTTATTCTCATCATATATGCTTATTGTGTCTAGTCGACACAGATTGTGTATTACGTTTAAAAGAAAAAAAAAATGTTTGATTTCCAAAAAAGGGAATATTCTTTTTTAGAAAATACCTAAATAATATATGTAACAACAATATAAAATAAAATAAATGAACATAGTATCATTATAATTCAATAAAATAGATAGATATATTATAAGTAAAACACCTAGAACAATAGGTATGTAATATTAATACATTAATATACAAATAAAAAATACTCTTGAGTCTTGATAAATATTTATTTTATAACAAGTTGAAATCATATTAAGTATATCTATTTAAATCATTAATTTAATAAAATACTCATATTTTAATACATGTGGTACATGTTAATATTTTTTTTTTGTAAAGGTTTATAACATAGGGATATTATATGATAGTATATGAAATATTTAATGGGTAGGTAACTGTATTTAATAAAAATATGTGTTATTTATTACAATACTAAATTAAAATTAAAAAACATTTTAGTCTTTATAAAAATTGCTAAATCAAAAACAAATACAGTTAAATAACATTTCAGTCTTTGAAATTTCTAAAACTTTTTATAACAAGCTGTCAGCCTTCTAAATTACTAAAAATAAAAATAAAAATTAGATTCTAAGATGACTAAATGGAAAATAAATTGTTATAACATTACCGGTTTCAAAATAAAAATAATAAATGTATACAACTTACTTATATTAATGCTTAGTTACAAATAATATAAGTTTATTCATCTTCTTCAGAGCGTGGAATATCATTTCCATCACTATCATGATCATCATCACGGTGATGTAACGGTTACATACTTCTTTGTAAAAATCTTTAGCATCATCTGGTACAACAAAATATTTCATTAATTTTTTTACATCGTTTCTTTAGGCTGGTTTAATATGATTCATTTTATCAAGTCTTGTAACATCACCCAGATTTTTCAAATTTGCATTGCGTTTAAGCATCTTTGTAAAATCAGGAACACTATTGTAAGTACTAGACAGACCGACAGTGTTTTTGCCTTTTTGGTATTTAAACATTTTTTGTCCGGAAGTTTTTAAAGAGTTTGKTTTTAATAGATTCTTACAAGTTTTTTTGAAGTCATACATAAAGAAATCTTTATTAAATATATGGACTTTAGTGAATTTTTCAAAAACTCTATAGTATTCAGTAGGAGAGATCACATGTTTTCTTTATTACGAAGGCATTTTTCAATTCTACCAAACACCTGATCTGGAGGCATGTAACTATGCCCCCTTACTGGAAAAATATGATTTATTTCTTGAAAAACTGTTTCTCAGCAATTTATATAGTATAATAATACAGCAACTACAAACTGATTTTTGTTCTGCGCTGAACATGAATCAGAGAACAAATTTAAAGTAGTTGGTGGATTTGGATATTGTTTTAGATGTTCCTATAATTTTTCTGGAAAATTTAATAAAGCTGAACAAACTTCATTGGGTCCTCTCTACCACTCTCATTTTCCAGCTATGTATATAAATAACAGTTTTCAGGAGACTGATATAGTTCAGAATTTATTACAAATGTTAGGTTGTATAGCCATATTTGTCGACTGTAAAACGTGTCTGTAACAGATAATTTTGGTAGCGGTTGGTTTAGCATCATGTCAAAACTGACGTGAATAGATCCTGGTCTCATATTGGACATCATTTTAGGAAATATTTTAGCGTTTTCTTTATGGTTGTACTGTTCTCGTTTTAAGTATGCTTTTGCTTGAATATCTTTTTCTAATTTAATATTAGTAATTAACTCTGTACAATTGCTACAAACGTCCTGTCTAGAGTAGGATATAAAGGTATGTTCTGATGCCTCAGCCTCTGATCCCCTCAGCCTTACTCAGCCTACCTCAGCCGCTCATCCTTGCTCATCCTTGCTGATCCTTGCTCATCATTCCCAGAGCCCGCCGACGGTCGCGTACGTTCGTGACGTATATTTCCCCCAGCCCACCTCCTTGCTGATCCTTGCTCATCATTCCCAGACCCCGCCGCCCGGTCGCGTACGTACGCAACGTATATTTCCCCCATCCCTCCTCGTCACTCATTCCCTCATCCTTGCTGATCATCGCACTCCACACCCCCACAGGTCTACATCCGCCGCCCGACTCGTGATCAACACTTATATTCTCACCACCGCCCACGAAGACGCTTGCACGCACGCGCATCATAATTATCTGATGGTTTTTTTTTTGTTAAATAATGAGAAAAAAAGATTGGAGAGATTCGAACCCAAGACCCCCATCTCAAACATTAACGCATTAACCCTCTAGGCCACAGACCTGTCATACCTTTTCATGTGATTCATAACGTATATACCTATTACTTATGTAATGCACCAAACCACCACAGCCGCCGAGGCCGCCCGACTCGTAACCAACACATAGCGCGCATGCGACAACACTTATCGTTATCAACATTCTTTATCAGCGTATGGAAACAACAGCCACCGAGTTATCACTATTATTATCATACACATACCATAATTACTGTACACCATATTATCGTATTCGTCTCAGACATAACTTATAATGTTATATCAGCGCATGCGTACAACGCTTAATTATTATACATACAACGTCTCGAACAATTTATATATAACATACTTGAGAGAAAAACAACATTCCTTAAGTACAGACATGCTGCGACATGTGTGTCTCGGTAGACCATACCTTTTGTTAACCGAGTATTATGCTGTAAAMCCTTTGTATATTTTAATCCCAAAATGCTTGTCGTCAACACGCCCCATAGTGAGACTTTTATAGAAACTCCTATAGTMATTTGTACACACTTAAACCTTAAATTATGAGTCACATAGGCAGATGTTGTTATTGCACATCTCATCCTTTGTTATTGAGGAATTCACACCTCCCTAATATTGTTCCTCCCACCAGATAGTGTCTCAAATCGACAGACAGTTACTCTGTCGTCCACCGAGACAGAGTTAGTCTGTTCTAGACATCCTTACCTTTACGATTCTACTCTGCAATACTCTGAGTCTCTAAATATTTTTACAAGTCTTTTAAATTTTCAAGTGGTTATTATTTTAAAACTCAACGATTTTTAAAACATGGCTGGTTCAATTGAAAACAACGCAGCGTTATACAAGAAGAAGACCTACACTTATGTACCACCATCGCCTTCAGCAGAACTCATCGAATCCACAAGCTTCACACTAGACTTTGMGGCCCGTAAGTTTGTACATATCGGTATAGATCCGTCTTCGAATTTCATAATTGCAGTACACATATTAACTTCTTCACGTTACATACAAGTTACGCCTGATTATTTGAATATATTATTCTCGTATATGGGTCATATCTTGTCCTTTATATTAGACACACCACAAAAGTATAAACGAATAATATTTTATGAAGATGAAATATTAAAACTATCGAGTATGGTATACAGCGGAGAAAATGTGTTAGTGATTGAAGCAAAACACAGAGAAGGATGTAGAATATTATTGAATCGGRCGGACCTTATTCAATTGCAATACCTCGAGTGTTCCATCGTCGAAACCTTAGTGCGGAAAGAAGTATTCACCGCACCGTTAATTACAGTGCGGGAAAATCTTCGACACCTTTAACAAATATAGATGGAGGAGGTTTAATTGGTGTGTTTTCATTTTTCGTTATATCGTTTTCGGCATCATTTTGCTGAGAGTTTGTAGAAATATTTTCAGTAGTAGGCGGGTCAAATGGATCTTCTTGGGCAAGTAGTTCGAACCTGTTGCGTGAAGCAAAGTTTTTTTTTTTTGTTTTTTGTTTAGCATTTATATCCATATTCGCATTCGGAGATAAAGGTTCGGATAGTGAGTTTGAGGWGTTGGAGTGTAGACGTTTATTTGATTGTGTTGACCATCCGGTATCTAAAGTGTTAGCTTTTGTATTAGCTTTTGAATTCGTTGTTGTAATTGTTGTTGAGATAGTAATCGGCGGAGTGGTTTTTTTCGTTTTGTTTATAATTATATTATTAGGATTGTTTGGTTGATTATTATTCATGGTTATTTCGATAGAGAGTTATTGATGTTATTATACTTTGGATGTACGATAAGTTAAACATTTCCGTCAGCTTGATAACGCAATGAGCGCAGGGCGTGACGGCGAGCACTAACGATTATGCTATCGGAACAGATAAGCAGTGTGCGAGACAATATACGTGCGGACTGTACGGTGTCTGAGCACGAACTAGAAATCAAACATTTAAAAAAAAAAAGAAAAATACCTATCGATTTCATACTAAAATAAAAACTCAAAAATATGTTTAAAAATAAGTACTATGATATAATAACTTATAWAATATGGCATTAGCAAATTAAAAAAAATCTAAACTTATTTTATTCAAAACGTTCTAATACATTGTAAAATTATTCAAAAGGTACTATAAGTGGCAATAGCACATTTTGAAAAAATTWAATTTATCTTGTTCAAAACGCTCTATTGTATTGAGATGTAATTCAAAACGTTCTATTGCTGGTGATAGTTTTTGATTGTTAAAAAAATATGTAAAATATAAAATAATAATGATTTTGATGTTGCCAATCTTTAAAAAAAAAAAAAATATTTTACTTATTACAAGACTTATTTTGGAATTCAATATTCATTCATATTTGCATACAAGTTTTTTCCATTTTACCAACATTTCAAATTTTGGTAATAGCACGTTTTGGAATATCGCCCTTCAGTTACAACATATTTATACTTATATGTCTACAATTAGGGAATGCATAGAATTAAACATTATAAAAACGTAATTTAAGCTTAATATTGAATTATAATAAATTATAACTAACAGCTTTTTTTGTTTTAGACATTAGGTAAATTGAATTCAGATATTTAAAAAAAAAATCACACTACTTATTTAAACTATGTTGGATATAATATAAACATAAGATTAAACTTTAAATATATTTAAGATGCATATTAATATAAATCGTGTAAAAACAAATAATTATTTAAAATTAAATCAACTTACTTTTCTCTATTATACACAGAGAATACACGATAGTAATAAATAAGTGTATAATATATTTTATAATTATGAAATATTCATCAAATGTTATGA